CGAGCATTCTGCTTCTGCTAGGAAAAACGAGGACGGGCGATAAAAAGTACGAGAAGAGGAAACGGGATTGCGATTTGTGCAATTCGACGCTCCTGATTCGTGTACGCACACGCGTTCGTGCTGTTTGCCCAAAACGAAAAACACATCCGGACGCCTCGGCGCTCCGGGGTCAAATTTGTTTCCCCCCCCCCCCCCCCCCCCCCCCCCTCGATGTTACCGTTATATTCAAACCAGCATTTCATAATGTGACACGTTCGATCGACCAATAAAACAAAGCTTTGCGTTGTGACAAATGGTGACAAATGAATGAGTGGACAGATGAACAGTAGCAGCTGTACTCTCCGTACCGGGCGCTAGCTTGCGCCACCTACCGCTGATGCTCAAGCGCACGTAAATGTGGCCAGCGATGTGACGCGTCGGTGGGAAGTTGGGCTCGATGAATGTCTCTTTTGTGAGACTATACCCCATTACATCTGCAAAAACAGCTGTTGGTGCGTCGCGTGCTTTAGATAGCTATAGGACTAGAGTTTTTGTTTAATGTAAATAAAGTAAGTTACCTTTTTGCGATAAAATGAGCGTAATTTTGATAGCAAATACAGTCATACTCTAACACCAGAAGAGAAGCACGCGTTCTATAATAGCATCCTCGATCATCCGCACCGGTGCGCACCGGGGCACTGAGGTGCGCCCCTTCATCTTCGATCAAGTGAACCGGTGCGCACCGTACGTCCTCGATCAACGAAGCGCACCCTCCCGGTGCGGCTTTTCGTTGCCCCAACGCGCACCAAGAAAATCGGCGGTGCGCCGGGGGGCAGTCCCATCAGGCATTGCGGCCAGGAGCGGGAATCGAGAAGATGGCGGGAGTAGCAGACGCGCAGACTATCGAGATGGCGATCTTGCAAAAACGAACACGCCTCGCAGCTGCACTAGATGATTTCCTCGGGTCTTCTGACGGTGAGACGACGAGCTTCTCGCCATCGCCGCGATTACTGGCGATTGCTGCGGTGGCAAGGAGCGCCCGGAAAGCACGAACTTCGTGGAAAGCGGCGCGAGGCGTTTCGATGACAGCGAGGTACGGCTATTATCTGGTGTTTCGTTTTCTTGAACCAATAATGATGGCCAACATATACATGTGGAATTGTCACCCGCTTCTTTACCCCATCGGCAATCACGTCCACGATGTTTATTTCTGTGGGACCGTCAAATCCGCGAGTAAAAGAATAGAAGAAATTGACAGCAGACGGGCACCGTGCGCTGACCTGCGCAAGAAAAAACGAACAAAACGTGAAGTGACGCAAGGTGGAGCTCGCCGCGGTGCACTGGCGCGGCGCAGTTCGTCCTCGATGTTGCACCGACATCGCGCTGCACGACCGAGGAGCGCTGTGCACTGTGCTGGTTTCAGGGCGATTCCGGTGCGAGTTGATCGAAGATGCTATAAGACAATCTTTCTACAGACCATTCCAACAGTCACCTGAGAACCGCCATCTCTGTCTCCGGGGTTGCGTGACGCGTTGAGAGCATGCGCATAAGTTCTCTTCTTCGGAACATCAGAACACGCGCAGCCCAGTGGCTGGGCATTTTTCGCGTGGGCGATAAGCGCTAGAAACGTGCAAGCTCGGCCTTTACGAAAAGAAAAAGATTGTCTATATACTGTGTATAACTACCGGCCGTAAATACCCGTAACCTTGTTACAGGCGTACTTCAAGATATGGCCCTCGCTATATTCGTTACTTCGTTATTACTGCATTCGCTATAGTCTTTATATCAAACTGAACATACAACGTGCCCCTCCCCACACACACAAACACAAATATTAGTGTTTTCTTGTGTGTCTTTTACCGCAAAAAAATAAAATACGTATCGCCTAACGCTCATTCTCCTCCCAAATGTAATGTTAGCGGTTCAAACCAGATGCCAAAATTTACGAAGTAACCGTCATCTTACTCAGAAGTTATACTGAGTGATTTTCTAAACAATTCAGTGGGAAAAATCACTACTGCCTTGTGCACGTTAAAGACCTCAGGCTAGCGCTTGTACCGCACTGGCTAAATTGCTCATCTACAGCTGAGACACCAGACGCCCACTGAGGCAGACTAACTTCCAGGCTGTATAAACATACACACAACAACTTGCTTTTGCAGTGGGTAAAAGGTGGCCCCTTTGTCGCCCGTTTTCGGGAACTTGCGCCAACGAACGTTTGGAAAGGGGCAGTTTATAAGGCACAAATAACTAAAAAAAAAAAAGCTTTTTTTTGTTTTTTGTTTTTTTTAATTGAGGCGTATGTCACGCGTGTCGGTGGGTCTGTGACTTGGAGACGATAAGCGAGAAAGCTTTTCCTCGGTGGATATGCTATCACTGCTGTCTTCTGGCGAACCGTTGCCACGTTCCGATAACAATGCCCGATACGGCGTCGTCCACTTCGTCGTGCCCCCATGCGCAGATTTACGCTTTTACTTCGCTCCGGAAGCACCGCGGGAGTTTAAGTACTCTCGAAACGATATCGGGTATTTCTGATTGGTATTGACTAGAAATTATGTTTGCATATGTCTAGCTAATCCGTGGACAGAACATTTTCTGTTTCAGTAGCCCTTTTATACTTGAACCCGCAAATCATTGTTTATTCTACCACACTAGAAAATGTTTCCCAGTAACCGATAACGATATACAGTAATCATCAAACTTCTATGTGTATGAGAAACCTTCTTTGGCCAAACGTGCTCCTTTCTTTAGAACCCACTTTGTCACCTTACCATAATTCTGAATGTGAGTAATATTAAAACTAAACCTGCGAATAAATAAATTAGAAACTCATATAACTAACAAAACTTCAAAATACCGCCTGTCATACTTTGCGATTATAAATATATTGTCATTAATTTCTGCTTAATAGGAAAAGTTTTGCTCTTTCATCAATGTGCAAATGCTTACTGGCAAATGAAACATTTAAGCGCTTTACTGTCCGTGTTGTTGGGCGCCCGAAACCAGGATATTTTAATCGATAGAAGTATTATATCCAAGGAGGTTACACCTGCCGCTAATAATGATCCTACGTTGATAATCGGTTCTCTTTTAGCAGTCTTCAGGGCTTAACCTCTTGGTAATCGAAACAAAAAACTAATTAATTATTGAAGTATATTGGTAACTAGGATTCCGTGTTTTCGGAGTTTAGTTCTCGTGAAATTCGGAGGGTGTTTTGGGGAGTTTATTTTTCGCTGAAAGTTCGGGGGGATTGGTGCCCGTGTGGGCTAGCGCACACCAGCTCGAAGCACGTGGAACGAAAGCTCGCGATTGAACCCAGGGATCCTGGGTTCAATCCCCACCACTGCCCGTTTGGATCTGGATGAGCATTGTACCGGCGTGCGGTCGTGTATCACTACTGCGTGGTACGCCTTAAAGACCCCCAGGATAGAAGTTGTACTGCACTGGCTAAATTGCTCATCTACAGCTGGGAGACTCGTCGCCCCTGTGAGGCAGACCAAGTTCTAGGCTGTATAAACATATGCACCCCAATTTCTTTCTTTACTTTTTAATTCGGGGGTTATCGGAGTTAATCTTTGTTATATTCACAATTCTTTGAAATTCGGAGTTTATTTTACTGTGTACGTAATTCTTTTTTAATTAAAAACACAAAATTGATAAAGTCCAGGTACCGTAACTCGTTGTCCTGAAGGAACCTCGACGTGCTAAAAGGCAAACACTTCTTGTCAGTATAGAATTTAAAAAAAAAACTGAAGTGGAATCTTTTTAGGGCCACTGTCCCTGGGCTCTTATAAAGTTCATTTGTAAAATACCGTCTAGTTAGCGTTTTGCATTTTCGGAACTAAAAATTCTGTTAATTTTTTTTTTTATAAATTAGAATTGACAGAAAATTTTCCGGCAAGTGTTTTTTTGTTTTTTTGTGTGTTTATTAGGATTTATTCTAAAACACGGAACTCTAATGATAGCCCAGCAATCTTATATATATACAGCAACGAGCACCGTGTTGACCATTTGTCACCAGAAACAGACGCACCAACGAAACGGCGTTGGGGAAAACGAAAACCGTTATACAAGTTCAATAAAAAAACAAATCGTGTTCATCGAATTCACCGTTCAAATAACTATTTATTAATAAAAATCGAACGTAAGTTTCGCTTTATTCTTCTAGCGTACATATCATATGGTAATTTATTGCACAGTCATTGACATCTTAAGAAATTCACGGAGTGGCACTTCCGGAGCATCTAATTAACGCCCCACAGCCAATCAAATTGAGCGAAAGAACGAAATCGCAAAGCAAGAGCATTAGCATAAGAAGCCACGCCCTGCGCTTCTTCAACTATTCATTACTGCACGGAGCGCAAGTTTGTCTGCTTCCTAAACAGAGGCTGCGGTGACGTCAGAACGCCGATCTCTGATTGGATCCGATTGGAGGACTTGTGGGTAGACCTCGAGATAGCCATAGCATTGATGCCTACCCTCTATTCTTCCAGTCAGAGCCAATCAGAGCTCGGCATTCTGACGTCACCACAACCCCTGCAAAAACAAGCAGACGAACTTGCGCTCCGTATAGACATTTCCAGCGGCAGTCTCGAACGAAGCGAACGGGCAAAAAATGCTGAGTCACTGAGCTGTGGACGCATGCGCAGCGTCCGATATACCACACAGCAGATCAACAGCGCATGCTTGGAAGGCGTTCCACAGCCCAGCAGACAAAGATGGCAGCGCGCATGAGGGGATTTCTGCAAAGGTCTATAGTTTAAGACCATGTTAAAGCAGAATGATAAGGAAGTGACAAGTAGGAGAAGCCGACAATTGGCCCAGACATTAGTCTGTCAGAGACAACAATAATAAAAAAAAAAAAAGATCGTAACTGTGAAGGGTAGATTCATTTAAAATATGCCTGTTGCTCACTACTGTGTCTCACTACTTTACATATTAACGCCCAATGATTTTGAACAGTTCTTTCGAAGAGGTCATCTCGGCGTGATACAAGACGGAGAAGTTCGGGTGTCACTTACCCCGTGTTAGTCCAGAGTACGAAGCAGATGTTTTCTGTATTTTTTTTACTTTGATCCGGGCTCTGTGTGTGAACTGGCGCGCAGCGCGGAGTGCGGGGTTGTGGCACTCTCGCCTCAAAGCACGAATCTAAACTTCTCGCCGCAGTCGGGCCGTCGATAAGCGAAAGAGAAGAACCCGAAGTCCAGATTACAGTCCCGGCGCTTCTGCGCGTCGTTCGTCTATTCTACTTCTTTTTTTTTTTTATGTATTCGTGTCGTTTATCACATTATCCGCGTACAGTAAATCTCCGTTTAAAATCGCTCATTCGCTTAATGTAACATTTTGCGACTAGTGTTATATTTCAGGCCTCGTACTTCACTTTTTACGGCTCAGTGTGTGACCGGTCCCTTAAATGAGCGCCTCCGGTGTCAATTTTAACGTTAATGAGGACACTATAAATGTCGCACGCTCGTTGTGGCGCTGGGTCTGTGACACTATGGTTTACTAAGCGCGTTCGCACCATCAGTTAGTTTCCTTTATCTGTTTGCGCCTCTATAGCAAGTAGCTTTCTCTCCCTCAAAGTCCGATCTAAATCGGCTTCGCAGCTGTTCCCGTTTCTAAATCGGACGCCGAAAAGACAATAGATGAATCAGGCTATACTTCTTTTTTGTGTCTTCCCTCTTACTCTCTCTTTCTTTCTTTTTCTTTACCTGTCGGTTTTGTTAAAACGCCTGCATTTGTGGAAAGGAAAGACCGCTCAATCTAGTGCAAGAACGGGTTGCACAGGAAGGCCAAACGGTGTATTTTCTGATGATGAATAGGGGTCACCCTGAAGTACATATTTTAGCTATTTGTTGTTGTTGTTGTTGTTGTTTTTTTTTTGCGCAATTCGCAGAAAGGGAAGCGTGGCCTGAATAATGTGACAGTGCTCAACCCTGGGATGTATTCTTAGGCATCCCTTCGAAAACAACAAAAACAAAGCAAAGTTGCGCTTGCGAGAGTTCTATGCTATTGTCGATGTGTGCGGCAAAAAACGTGGTCGCGGTGGTCGGCTTCCCACGGTTGGCCAAAGGCCGTCCCCAAACCGTTCAGCAGTCGACCAGTATTGGCGACGTGTGCGAACTACGGGGCGCACTTCTCTAGATATCATCATCATCGTCTTTGACGTCACGGGTAGGACAGCCTGGGACAGACCGCCCAGATCTTAAATCCCTCGGATTGTCAGCTCGCTTGTTGCGCTGTTTTGGTAACGCGAGGCAAAGCGTGTTTCACTCGTTGTGTTTGTTTGGTGAGGTGATATTTGTAGTAAGAGATTTTACCGAAGCTTGAAACCGTGGAACCCATAGTCGCGCTAACATAAAGTTCTGGCGCTTTGGTGTCGAAGCGTTGGGATGGTGGTGTGACCCCAGCACAAAAAGCTCAGTTATAAAAATAGGCTATCCAGCGCTTGACCCCGCTACAACATCTACCAAGGCGAATAGGGTGCATTTTTTTTTATTGTGGTTCTGAGAAAATAAAGCTGAGAAATGAATGTCTCACCAAACTGAATATAAAAAAAAAGCGAAATTTAAGAACCTCTCGTTTGTGTGGTAAAAACTTCAGTGAAAGGGACTCTGTGTATCCCGTGGGTTACAATGCGCTTGTAAGTGTTGGCCTCTTATTAGTTCCAAGTTGATTCCCTTTTTTTTTAATTTTGTAAACCAAATAAACAAACATTCCCTCAAAATAACTGGCAAGAAGAAACGGTGACTGGCTTCCGGAGTCGTTTCATTATCCCTATATATATTCAGTTATTCACCCGGTCGACGCGAAACATTCGAGACCACTTCGCGATCGAAGTCTTAAATCTAGCACTTCGGTGACTCAAAAATGAGGTATACACCTGGTATGAATTACTACCGTTCGTTTGTTTAACTTTGCGGACCCAAATTCACATAATAGGTAATGCGCTTCTCAGCAAACGATTTTTAATTCGTAAACAATTGTTAGTAAAAATTGGATGGAACAAATTAATCAATCGCGTGAATTTGCCATGCCATTTCCATAAGTTTAAAAATTTATTAATATTTCTGTTTTTTTTTTTTTTTTTTTTTTTTTCACGTATTCAATGCAGGAGTAGCTAAGCGTCAGTTGCTGTCGAGCATTTGCTCGGCAGCAACCGTCGAGCCACTCTTAGATAGAAACGTCGGTATCGGCAAGTTCAATGTAGCTAAAACAAGTGTGCGGCGCTTTGTAACAGAACTGTACGTGCGTGCACAGCTAAGATAACCGCAAGTCTGGTGAATGAAAAACATGTTTTTCCACAGCAACCTCCACAGATCCGAAAAAAAAAACAAAAAAAAAACAAGAATCAGAGAGGCTGTGAATAGCCCTGACGCACGTCGCAGAAGCTGTAATGTGAAGCTCGAAGCTTATTTTTGAACATTTTACATTTATTTTGTTAATATAAAAACAATTTCGAGACGCTGTTATTTATTAGAAAGATCACACACAAAAACGTCATACACTTTTTTTTTATTATTTTAAATAAAACGTTTTTAATCGGCATAGACGCAAACTAACAGAACAGACAACATAGCGCGTTGTCTGCTCGCATCCTACCAGCTCCGTCACAGGAGGGCGCCCGCGAGGTGGCGCCACCGGGCGCCACAAAAACGTCTGATCACTGATCTCAATGACAATTGCTGGATCGCGTTTGCCGCCCTGCGAATGCGGTCACTGGCGGCCATCTTTAGGTAAAGTTATATTGCCTCTAGCCAATGTAAGCTGCTGCAGCCGCTATCATCCATCCATGGCAGACAGCGTTGTGGTAGTTGTGGTAGCAGGCTGGCATCAAAATAGCGTGGGTGATATTTCGTGCTTGATTGAAAGTGTTTGACGAAACATGTTTTTAGAACCCGGCGTGAACGGTAGCCCGACCTTTGGGGACCCGGTGAAAGTTTCACGAAATCGCAGCACCGGGGGAAAAGCAGCACAGAACGGATTGAAAGTCGCATCGAAAGGAGCGTCGAAAGCAGACGCCGGTACGGAGTCTGTTTTCGATGCGAGCTGCGCTGGTTTCCCTCGGTGCTGCGCTTTCGAAGAACTTTCGCCGGGTCCTCAAAGATGAGGTTACCGTTCACGCCGGGTTTCAAGAATCTGCTTCGTCGAACAACTTCTATCAAGCACGAAATATCACCCACGGCACAGTGTACTAGATCTACGGCTATTTTATGGCAGACTGCCGCCATTGCGCTGTCCGCCATATTATTATGATGGCTAGAGATGATATGACACTACCTAAAGATGGCCGCCAGTGACCGCATTCCGGTCCATAGGAGGAGCTGGTCAAACGCGATCCAGCAAATAGACATAGAGATCAGTGCGTCTGATCGCCAATAGCTCACCTGCTTTCCCCGGTTCATGCACTCTACCGTTTTGGACGAACCAGGCTTGCTCGTGTCTTAGTTTGCGGCTGTGCCGACAAATGGCAGCACTGACTTCTTTTTTTTTTTTTTTGTGGTTGGATGTTTGACTTTGAAGGAAAGAAATGTGATATTCGGAGACGACTACTAGGGAGTTGAGGCTCAGAAATTCCCCAAAACTGAAAGCGGTTGCCTCTTTTTGGCCCTGGTGACAATGATGGTGGTGGGGTAATGACGACATCTCCTGAAATCTAGATTTTTTTTTTTTTATTTTACAATTTGTTTTAATTTTTTTTTAATGATATTCAAGTTTTATTTCGTGGTAATGAGATGGAGGCGATTGTAAATTAGGAACTTCATAGTGCAAGGTTTGGGTACAAAACTCACATCAATAAAATACTCGGGAAAATATTCAGATGTTTCATTCCCATCAACAGCTTTATAAAAAAGAAATACTAAGGAGTTTTTGTTTTCCAAATGATTCGAAGTTGTCCAACTACCCTTTGTTAAGTAATTACTGACGCGATGTGTGAATGGAGCAACACTGGCAAAAACTAAATTTCGGTGGTTGAAGCCAGTGGTTGAGGCAGTCTTTATGGCATCAAGCCACTTCGGTCACGCTCTTCTAATAACTCAACCATCGTGCGACAAGTAAACACGGACTCCTACATTTTAAACCATAAGAGAAACTGCATGCGTTTCAAATACATTTACCACTGTCGTTCGAGCTTATTCACATGAAAGATGCCTCATGAAAATTAAGCATACCTTTTGAAGGAGGAAAATGTTTTGATCAGATTGAGTAGTAGCCGTATGACTTCATAAATTCACTAATTTAGGCCTTAGCGACCATTTGGGTGTATTTCTTAAAGTTAAGGAATAAGAGGTCTTACCTCAGAGGTTGGTGAAACCATTGCAGTACTCGTATCAGTCGGAGGAAGGAAGTGTGTCCACTCGCACTGGCAGAGCAGACACCGACTCCAGAGCAGTTCCTTGCAGTCAGTGCTTATCGAAAACTTTTGCGGGGCGTCTCAAGAACTGGCTCTTTTAAAGGGAAGCTGAAACACTTCTTTCTAAAAATAAAATAGAGGTTCATTCTAGCGTGGTTTTATCCTGAGGGCCTGAATATCACGTTCGTTTTCCCCAAAGATGTAACTAAACGCGAGAAAACACGAAAAACCTCTGACAAGTTCGTTTCGTCATAAGAGGATTTTTCGGCCGCTATGTGCGTGTCGTTCGAGGGCCGCTCGAATAATCGCGAGCTTCCCAGGTATGACTCCAACAATCTAACACCAGTCGTGACGTCTTTTTTTTTTTTTTTTTCTATGAAAAATAATAATAGTGCGCGATGATAGCTTTGAAAGGTGCTGAAAACGCGGGAGAGCGGAGATTCCGAAACCTCATTTTGTGACGATACGCTCGCGGAACGAGGGCCTTGAGTGGTACTTCGAAAATAATTTTTTCAGCCTCTATGCACCAAATTAAAAAAAAAAAAATTAAAAAATAATTTCAATATTTGACATCTTGGAGCTCGAGTGAAGACGATTTAGGGTGTTCTTCCTCAAATACAATACCGCTTCAGCTTCCCTTTAAACGACCGTTGGTGGTTATAAAGTTAGAGTCCGAAAGGTTTACCAGTAAACTTTATATAAAACTTATCTAAAAGGTTGAGAAAAAAAAGCGTACCTTGTGTGCTGCTCGAGTATTCTTTGGAAGCAATTGCACTTCCAACCCACCATTGTGCGTAAAGTACGCCATGGTGGCCTCAGTACAAAAGTAAACACCATGGCCGTCCTTCCACCGAGTTTCAATAAGAAGAGACTTCAAGTGTACCGCCAACGCTGACGGCTATGGCCCTTCCGAGATTGGACATAAAGGGTTGCGTTAGATTTTGTTGACTTGGCACTTGGCAAAAAAAAATTAAAAAAGGGGGGGGGGGGGGGGGATGGACGAGAAGGTCACTACAATGCGCCGGTTGCCTTTCTGAGCGCTCCTTCTGCTCTTGGCCTGAGCTGTCTTAAATAAAAAAAAATGCCTAACAATTTTTTTTTTCAAGGGTTAGCACGGATATCTTCTGACAGCCTGGGGCTGCATCCCACCTAGCCCGTAGCTTCATCCGGTCCTGCAGCTGGTCGCAAAAGCGAACGAGAAACACGGAATCGATTAGCTTATGTTGATGCATTAGCTTGTCCCAAGCCTTTCGCGTAATGAGCGGGCGATTGTTTTACTGCGTTCGGTCCCTGAGCTAACAGTGCGGTGGGAGCTACGCGCTCGGACGGACCAATCAACGGCGTGGATGCGAGGCAGAAGCGTGATCACGTGACGAAAGAGGGACGCGGGATTGGTCCAACGAGCACGTAGCTCCTACCGGACTGTGTTAGCTTAGGGAAGAACGGAGAATAGAATCGTTGATCTGCTTCGGATTTGGAGGCCGATAATGAATCCGTCGTAAGTTGGGACAAAGCGCGAAAGCGGGAAACGGTGCTTCTGCGACCGAGGGGGGGGGGGGGGGGGGGAGGGAGGAGCAGGGTATTGTTTGAAATGCTCCGGTCGTGTCGTTTCTGACTAACGGCCGCCATTTTGCCGAAAGTGTTTTTATTTCTGGGTACCTCGATCGGCACGCCTCTCGTTATGCCTTGTGAAATGGTTTTCATTCGCCCGAAAGTTTTATAGCATAGCATGTCCAACACACGCGCACAACTCTTTTTTCTTTTTTTGCGTCACGTTGTAAGAATGTTTTCACTAAAAACAAAATGTTTTCGGAATCAACACCCTATGTGGACCGTGGAAACTCGTGACGTGAGATATACCGTAAGTCACGTAAGCCTGTTTCACTCTCCGCGACTACGCGTTGAAGGTTTCTTCACTAAATAGGTGGTCATAAAAAATGGAGTCTTTTGTGTTTTATTACTTCTACAAATTAAAGATTTGCCTCACACAGCGCTGGGCTCTTGTAGAGCCAAAATGTTGTCTCTCGTATAAACGAGTCATATATAATCATCCATTGCGTTTTATTTCCTTTAGTTCTTATAAAAGACTGAGATCTCGTGTTTTCTTTGCTTGTTTAAGAATAAATCGAACCGTCGACTGGATGTCCCTTGTTTATGCAGCATTTTCGCTCATATTATACTTACCTGAACCCTCCCTGCAACGTCCCTCGAGCAAAGGCTGGCACTATTTTTTTTTTAAAATGTAACAATAATATATTTCGAGTTTAGTGCCGTACTTGCCCGTAACCGGGGAAAAAAAAAAAAGGATGAAGACTTGTGATCATTGGATCACGTACATCTAAATAGCTAGGCAAGCATACAAAAACAAAAGTAACATGTTCTTCAAACTAGCATCGGCAACCATGTTGACTACCTCAAAAACTCATCTATGATACCTTTTCTTTTCTTTCTTTTTTTTCATCTTCGTAGTACGAAACACATTCGCGTGTTGCTGGTAGGATGCACTGCCGCGGAGAGGGCACCCCCATTCCGTTCTCGCATCATTCCAGGGAATTCGATATTTTAATAATCTGACACGGAAAGAAAATGAGGGTGGGTAGGAGCCGAAAGCGCTCGGAGACATTGGAGCACCAAGCTCTGGTTTGAATGGCTTAGCTGCTTTTGTTTCTGCTCACTCTTCGAACATATTCGAACGCGCCCGAGTAGTGCGGCGGAGACAAAGGGCTGATAGCTTTGCCTCTACCCCCTAATTCTTCCAACCAGAGCTCTGTGTTCTGACGTCTTCTCCGCGCTCTCGTCTCCTTCTCTCCCTCAGTTTTACCCGTATTCATTTCGACTAGGAATGAACGCGCTGGGCCCCTTCCCATTCTTGAAATGGCTGAACCGTCCCATTTCATTCGTCTGACTTCTAAACGTGGAAACATTTCTCTGCGTTCCGTTGCCGGAAAATACAGCATAAAGCTGATGTTATCAAGCGCATAAACAACTGCGCAAGTAGGCAAAAAAACGCGTTCCCAAAGCGCTGATTCTACAATGCCGTGCGGACATAGTGTGAAGCGCTTGGTGACACTGCAGACATCGATCGCGCTATCGATGTTTGCAGTGTCAAAACACGTAAAAAACTCGCAACTGACGCAAAAAAAAAAAAAAAACATTTCCTTCGGAAACGCATTGTATACTCTCTACTTCTAGGAGATATATGATCGGCGTGTTTGTATAGCTCTTAAAAAAACGCCTAGTTCGAGCGTGGTACAAGAAGTATCATGACGTCTCCGACTACCTGCACAACAGCACCGCTATATATAGTACGCTGTTAGAAGCGACGCCTCGTATATGTCTACTTCGAATCTCAATTTCATCGCGGCAAAGACACAAAACCGCTAATAAAAATGCAATTGCTACGATGCTAGCACGAAAGACCAGATTCAAGCAACCTAAGGGCGGCCAGTGCCCCAGCGCCCTCTATCTGCCGGTCAAGTCACTACTCAGATGAAAATTTTACGTTCGGAATCTCGCGATTTCTAACCATAATCTAATCATTTTTTTTTTTCATTTGTTACCAAGCGACCACTAGAAGGTCTTCTTTGCTAACAGCTACATGTGCTCCTTATAATTCGTTAATTATCCGGACGTTAGGATGACTATGGTGCTGAGCGCATACCTTGTACAGCATACATATCAAACTACCGTTTTTTTATTATTTTTTTATGAATGACCTAAGATTATCCTTGGCACGGTCCCACGACGTCACGTGCAAGTCATATATAGAGCGCTGCTATCGTAGCGATTTTGTCTGTACTCAGAGAACTCTTTGTATACCGCGTACCTGATGTCTGAGCACGGTCTTTCTTCGCGATTCCAGTAAAAAAGATGGCACCTATTTATTAATTTATTTATTTATTTAGATACCCTCCAGGGCCAATCGGCATTCGGAAACACACTGAACATAACGGTAAAAGCGGTGCCGCAATTTCTGTTCGGCCCTTGTGACTTCTCTGGTTACATGATGTCGACGGTTGACGCAACTGAAGAGTTGTCCCGGTCACTCTGTCGTCACCATCGTATCACTCTGTCCTTACCGTCGTATCAGCGTGTTGCCCAGGTCGTTTTGAACGCAACCTATGCTACCTCGCGAACCAGACACTGTGCGTTCATCAACGTTCATCCGCATCGCGATCCTTCCATCGCTTCCCTGAAGTTCAATGCGGAACGCAAGTTCGTCTGCTTCTTTTTGCAGGGGTTGTGGTGACGTCAGAACCCCGAGCTTTCATTGGTTCTGAATGAAGGACAGTGGATAGACCTCAGCGCAAGGAGCCTTGAGGTCTACCCACTTTCCTTTATTCAGAACCAATGAAAGCTCGGCGTCTTTCTGACGTCACAACCTCTGCGAAAGAAGCAGACGAACTTTCGCTCCGCATAGACCCTTTTCAAGAGTCCGCGCCCATGCCTGTCCGCCATTGCTTGCTCACATACTCGAGCATGTATTGGACGCGAGGACTCCGTCAGTGTTCGGCGTGAACTCGGCTCACCTCGTATCAATAGCCAGTGTGACATCAGCGTTCGGCGATGACTCGGATCCAATCACGCGCTTCGTGGCAAGCAATGGCGACTGCCAATGTTGCTTGATGGACTTTTGAAAAGGGTCTATTACGTCTGAAAGCTCGTTTACGCCATGACATCGCCGCAGCTTTGAAACGTAGTGAATAAAAATCGGGCAGGCCATTTTGAGTTCAATGCTTGCCTGCTGAAACCCGAGCGTCGTGCGTTGAACTGGCACATGGAACGGCACAACTTGTTTTAGACCGCTATATCTGCCCGGTATGACATCACGGCATTGCGGTGGCGCTGCTATCGTCACTGCGCATGCGCAGACGCTTCATCTGGCGCAGAACCAGGTTTCTGCGCAAGCGCAGAGACCTGAGCACAGTGCCATACGAAGCGTTTTTCTTTTCTTTTTTTTTTGCACGAGACCTACGAATTAAGGACACAGATCCCCTCTATGCACCGGTGAAAATCGCCGCGATCGTCTCAATCCCAGCACGCCTACTCGATCCGCCGGCGGAGCGAAGTGCTATTTCATAATAAAGAAGCGAAAAATACTTCTCATGTAGATTTATATCAATTACTGGCGCTGTAAATGGCCTCCCGTGGTGATTTCGGAACCGTCAAATTCACAAACGCCTCGTAGGGGCATCTTCCAGCGCAGATAAACGAAATATGCTACCGCCGTTGCCGCTCAAAACTGCGGGAGACACTATTGAACCCGAGCTACGATCAACACCTGCGGGTCGAGCGACGGAAAACACATCCAGAGCAACTTTGGACGAGGGTAGGTTCAGAATGTAAGGTGCCAAGCTTTTACTCCCCAGTGAGATTAAGAAACACGGCAGTTTAAAGGCACAGACGGCGCGAAGACCCTGCGGACGCATGTGTTCCCAAAATAAGAAACGAAAATGTTCCCCATTTTTAGCCCTTCCACAGTATGAGGTTCTGTTGCTGTTCTTGATGTTTTAAATGAACAGTCATTACCCCGTTTCTTTTTAAGTGTTATTTCACTCGACCCGTGATATATTAGCTTTTCTGTCGCTCTAACCGAAGACACGTGGATGTCATGCACAAAACTGAAATGGAGACAGAAGTAGACGTTCAGTGTTTTGTGTAAATGAGGTGTTTAATGAAGTGACAGTCACGGTTACTGCGCTGTTAAGTCGAAAGCACACTGATGTGCCTTCTTAACACATCGAGAACCATGATTCCTTTAAATCATCTAAACAACGACATTGCCTCGATTAGTAATTCATGCGAAATCTCGCTCTGGCGATCTGCAGGACCTGTGCCCCAGCGAAACGACCAACATGATTCTTAAATATTCCTCTCCGTCGACAATTACAATGGCAACGGGTGCGACAAAAGCCTGGGCTAGCATAGATTACCTTCTATAATTAAAAGATAAAATATAGGCATCTCTCGAACTAACTCAAAAAGTGCTACTAACAAGCTACAAAAAATATGTCACGACAAGAAAAAATGGTCTCTGTAACGCATCAAAACAAACACATGTCTTGACCACAACGTGGCATATAAAGCGTCCTACGTTGTGGGCAATGGGAAATTAACCACGTCATTTGTCTCGCGCGTCTTCTCCCTTTGTTTCGCTAGATCGCCTCTGCCGGAAGCCCTGACTCCCAGTACGTATCAGGAAACCGGGCCTTTGGGCAGGATTGTCTTGCAGAACCTGACTCGGCTGCGGCAGCGCTTGAATCACTCCCAAATTTCCAACAGCCTGTCCCCCAGCTGGAGAAGCCTGTTGTTGGACATCGACGGGACCCAATGGCACCGCTGGAACGTTGAGGCCGATGGCCTCTGCCTTGACCATGGCGACGCCACTCGGATTCACCTTGACCACCAGGTAGTCCTCTGGACGGAAGACGCCCAGGAACTTGCTCTCAAAGAGATCGGTCACCCTGTAGCCGGGACCGTGTAGAAGGCCCACGCTCTTGAGTTGGATAGGAACGTCGATGGCACCACCCATGATGTTGCGGTTGAAGGCGACCAGGGCGAAAGAGAAGGCACTGTTGGCCACCAGGGGGGTGATGGGTCGCCTCCAGATTTCGACGCCGTTTTGCTGCAAGAACATGGACAGTCTTGTTTTGGGCAGAATAGACGTCGATGTGTTCGCGCGATATGTTGATACGTCGGCGAGTGAGTCTAGCTTGACACACAGAGGGCATGTGTTTACATTGCAAACAGCGATTCAGTGAGAGCAGTAGGATTAGTAATGTGAGGCCCTTAGTGTGAATCGCACTTTTGGGGGCACTGAAGCCAGAGGGAACGGAAATATAAAAGCTTATAACGTCTAAAAGGGAATTTACCCGGTGGATTTGGAGCGATCCACAAGCACTTCTTGCTCGTGCCTTTAGAGCGCCAAATGCTAGCGCGCAAGAAGATGTTAACAAAAAAGCCCGCCAAAATCGCCCTAAATCCACTAAGCGAATTCTCCCTAGTCTGAATCCGGTCACTGTTCGATCCTCCAGCATTCTCAGGTCATACTCATTTAAGCTGTAAATCGGTGAGCTAGAGCTGTTTCCGGAATTGGAAACATGCACTCTCCATCCCGGTTAATATTAAACATTTCTCAGTATTTTTGTTTTCTTAGAGTCACGCGTACGTCCTGCCTGCTATTTGCTTAACGGGTGGAGAACCAAACGCATTGTCGTCTTCACTTAAAAAAAATGCTATGCGTTTACTTTAACGCAGAGCACTTGAAGTGCCAAGGATAGGCATCTACGGTGAAGAAAGATTTTTTTACAGAGATTGAAGACTATCAGGCAACCCTGAGCATAATATGGACGTGACAACCGCTATGATCGATGTCACATTGCAACGTCCTTATGGTGAAACGTTTTGTTTTCTTCTTTTTTTAGCTTTGACATTTCCAGGCTTGCTTTCGTAGATTGGAGTCAATCCCTGTGATTGACTCATTAAGACTTACACATTCATTAGATGAAAGTGATTTAAAGGAAATGATGGAGAGGGCGTCAAGCTCCGAAGGAATTCCAAACTCACCGCTTGCACTTTCTGTCCCATCCTGCCGAGCGGATCCTGGTTGACGGCGATGATGTCCTTGTTGAGCAGGATCTGCTTGAACTCGGGACGCATGCGGCGGAGGTCGTTGGACATAAGTAGTGGTGCCGCCAGGATGGCCCACAGCGCCATCTGTGCTTTGCTCTGGTCGTAGCTCAAACCGAAGTTTCCGATGATGAGCTGCGTATCAAGACAGAGACGATGTGCCCGGGCACAGAGTCAAAACGAAAAATAATCTCCTTACTCGCATACCAAAAACAAAACAAAAACAAAAAATTGCTGTGCAACGGCATTGCCATAATTGGGAGTTGTAGTAGATCCTTTTTCTCCCCCACTGCGGTATCCGTAAAGAAAACGCCGCAGCTGCGCATTCGCGCCGCCAACCTTGTCTGCATAGTTCAGGGTCTTGTGGCGGATTACGGAGCGCTGTGCGGGTGCCTAGCGGGCTGCGGAAACAGTCTACTAAAACTCCCTAACGAAAACGCGCCACGTTCGGTGGTAAACGATAATTTCCCGAGTAAGGAACACAATTTAGTAAAGTAAGATTGGCCAAAAAAATGTGTATACTAATTGTAATTGGGCAGCACATTTCTAATTGGACTGTGTCAGTTAAGGCAACTATTTCACAAGTTAATTAGAGGATTTCAGGTAATTAATTCGCTAAATGTCACATTTAACCTGTAACGTGACGTTCATTGCGGTCGATAACGTTATCACGAAGGAAGTGTTTAATTATTTCAAGCGCCTTTTCTTCAACTACCTCTGTCGTTAGTGAACCACTCTGCACATAGATACAGGAAACATGACCAAAACGTCCTTCGCCCATGGAAGGATCACGCTGAAAGGGACGCGATGCAGCCAACTGTGCTTCTCGCGGGAAAACCTCCTGAGCACGATATTATCTCGATCAATCAACGTTTTCTACTAATCTGAGTACAGCGTATACGGCAGGTCATATCACACTAAAGACGGGCTCCGTGAAACTTACTTTATTGAAACGGATAATCCTGACTAGCCCACATGCTAATGAGAATTCCTAAAGCCGGCGCGAATTAATAACGCGGTGTACATAGAACTTTACGGGCCGTTGCAAAAACACAAGAGACAAAAGAGACAAGTTACTGACAAAAAAGTTCCCAATTTAGGCACAGTTGTACGGTTTCATGATATGTTCTTCCGTAAGTGCGCGAGTTCTACAGAATTGCAGAGCTCGGGTTCTCGGTTAATCCGAACACGCTTAATTCGAAGGTGAATCTGGTAAAGTCAATCTTTGGTCCTTAGATTAATTAGACGGTAATGAATGAGCGAAAGGTCTCCGGATGAGTTGTGTAGGCGAAGGTAATGGTCCACCAAGCTTTTATGAACGTCAATGTAAAGAGCTAAAGCAGCACTAAAAAAGACGAGAGACACACGGAACAGAGTACAATGTGCAGACTTTCAACATAATATATGTTTCTTTCGAAAGGGACGTGGACATAAAAAGAGAAGCAAACTGCTGTCACTGACATCCTAAGAAACGGAGAACGGGGAGAGTGTTAATATCGGCGGATAAGAACGACGAATAACAAATCGCAAGCAAGTGATCATAATAGTCCACGCACTGTGTTCCTTAGTCAATCGATGGCTATAAAGAGTTCGAAACATGAAAGATCCACACCCACCCCATTCGCATCAAAGACTTTGCGGCACACTCCCTTATAAAATTCACCTCGTCACCTCAAATAGTTAAAGATGCAGCGTGTGTCATTATCGTGTATATATATAAAAAAGGAACGCTTTTATTTTGTCGTGGTGACGGCCTACTATTTTTTATGACATTAAACGAAAGAATGCACTGTGATGTTCAGTCTACAACAATATAAAATATCCATTCGCCTCGACAGTATACGCGGCTTTGCTGAGCGCACGTAGGATATAGACACTTTATTTCTAGTGCGAGAACAGAACAAAGGTTAATTTATTTCCTCGCCCCGAGTATATTGGGCCTGGTCAAAGCGAATCGTTCAAAGCCGCCCGAAATTCCGTCCTCGATAGGGTCTTTCGTATTGTTGGAGACTGCACAAACTAGCTCAACCTATTGCCTTGTGGCTTTGTCTGAACATGACTGCTTTTGTTTCAATAATCTCGGGCTTGCCTTCTGAAACACGAGCCGAACTTTGCCGGTAAAAAAGAGCGTCTGTTGATTGAGTCTTCAACTGACAGAGCTTTAAGACTTGTTTAGAAGCCCATATTTGTCTGGGTACGTGAATGTACTGAACAAAAGGGCGGAATAGGCTTCCAGAGCGGAAGCGGCGTGCGTACGAATGGATTCTTGCAGCTGGCTGAAGTTTCATCTGGAGTCAACATTTATCCTATATGAAGCAATGTTTACGTGCAGGGGGAAGGAATTCGTCTGGGCTCGTGTCTGTGGCGTCGATGCCTTGTGATATGTTTTTAGCCAAGCGCCATAGGGCCATTCCTCACATTCTGAATAACGAGCGTGTTTGTAAAGTGTAAAGTACCAACACAAGATTTCAAACAACTTGAAAGCATTTGTGCTGCGGTACGATGTACCTTTGGTTGTTTTAAGTGCGTTAGCGTTTGCGAGCTCGTGACGCTGAATATCTGGCGTCGGCGTCGGCGTCGTGTCCAAGCAATGGCGCCCGCCAATGTTGCTTGATGGATTTTTGAAAAGGGTATATTGAACATTTATGGAGTAGCCGTAAATGTTTTAGAGACGCGAACTACTTCACAACGGCCGCAGCGAGCGGGCGTTAAGTGTTCGGTACAAGCTCCCACGGTTATTGACCGAACATGGAGAACGGCCGGTTTGTCGTCTGCTATCGGAATCGGGCGGTCACTCTTGTGACCTCTTAGAACTGGGCGCCTCTAAACCTCTTACAACGAGAGGACACACTGGCGCCATCTATTGGGTAGCAGTGTAAACTTGGCGGTCCGACGTATTTTCTATTTCTCTCGAGCTTTATCCTTTCTTTCTTGGCTCGAAAAACTTTTGTCACCGTTATAAACGAGCCATTCTTGTATGTATTACGCACATTTCACCTCGTAAATTCCGCAAAACCTTCGCTCTTGTGAAATGCAGTTCCAGGCGCACCGCATAGATGGCGCCAAAATGCCAATGTGTTTCCTTGTCCTAACAAATTTCAAGAGGTTTTAACAAGTCTCGGTCTCTCTCGGTCGTACTCAGTTTCAAAGGTGTGAACGGGCCTTTAAACCGCCCAATTCCCTGAAACGCACGGAAGGAACAGAATGGCGCCGCCCTGAGTGCACTTGGTGCGACAGTCTATAGACGTTCTGTTGTAAAACAAGTCGAGTCACGTGACCCCTTTATCCACCAACGAGAGGCTCTGACGTCACACCGCTACGGTAGCGCCGCTCTCGGCGCGGAGCGTACTCAGACGCACTATTTTACGCAATCCGGTTTCTGCCCACGCGCAGGGCGGTGTAGGCAAACGCGGACTAGTTTGTAAACAGCGTGTGGGCCTTATTAGAGAGGCGACGTCCTACCATGTCAGGGTCGTTCCAGCGGCCCGGAGCGGCAGCCTCCGCCAGCATGGTCTGGATGGAGGCGTAGAAGTCGATGGTGTGCTCCACGCTCACCCAGGTGTCTGCGATGTCCATGTAGTTCCTCCAGAGATTGCAGTGCTGGCCGATCTTCGGGTAGTTGGGCTGCGAGAAAGACGGAACTCGCGTTCTTCCGAGCTCACAGATCGCGAATGCACGCACTGGGGCGCCTTTGAGGCAGTAAACGGCTAGTAAAAACTTGGCTTCAGAAACCACTTTTGTTGGTTGTCTATGAATTGCGATAGCATTCGTCATGATTATCTCCTTTTCGTTACGAGGTCATGAACGACGTCAAGAACAGCGTCTAGGACCACGTCGAGGACGACGTTCTAGAGGACGACGTTAAGAACGACGTCTAGGATGATCCCAAGGACGACCTCTAGGCCGACTTTAAGGACAACCTCTAGGACATACAGCCCTAGAGGCAGATATAGAATCACGTGACGTCAATTTTTCCGCTAAATGTAGCGGGGAAACTGAATAATAATAATAATAATAATAATGTTTATTTCCACCATAAGATGATGGTCGCGGTCAGGAAAAAAAGCTATGAAGTACAGCTTCACGGGTTCCTCACCGCCTACAAGCAGTAGCAACAGAGTGAGGAAATAGTACAGTAATCAAAAGAGAAACACAAATGTACAAACAATTATGGCTATCACAACATTATAAGCACAACAGTTTAGATTATTACATTGTTAACATAACGGGTATGAAGGGCAAAACAAAATAAGCTTATAGTAATAAAAACAGAGCACGAACACTAGTAAATAGGGTATAACTACACTAATCATCAGTGAAAAAAGGGTGACCTGACTTCACTCAGCGATAACTTATCCAAATCAATACCTTTAGCTAAATACAGATTAATTGATTTAGGAACAGCGTATTTCAACGTTTGTGTGCCGTAGTTTGTTCTCGGTGTGACCACCTCCATTGGTTTGCAGGTCACGTGTCATCAAATTTCCCTCTAAATTTAGCGGGGCAATTGAATTGGTGTATAGGTTTTGTGACGTCAATTTTTCCGCTAAATATAGCGGGAAACTGGGCATTAGGAGGCCAGAAAAAGGGGGGGGGGGACGGGGTAGCTAAAGAATGCTATCCCGTTACAAGCTATATTAACAGTAACTGAGGGTTCGTAACTGCTGCAGTTTCCAACGCTTTACTAGACTCCTAAATGCGATGCCGTTTCTGAGCACAGCCTCCGCACTTTTGTGTTTGTCCCGTTTGTTACCAACGAAGAAGGCGGCATGTACGTACCTGTTAACCCTGGTTCTCACAGTTGTGTGTCGGTTGTGTCGAGAACGATCGAAGTGACAATAACGACAAACTCACCGGGAGAAGTGCTTGATATGTAACGTGGCTAAGAATGGAAGAAGCATATAGTTTCGTAAAGCCATCATCTGACACGGCTGTTCAGATGTCCCGGTAGTTGCAGTCGTTTTGGTTGCAGGAAACGCAACCGCGACACAAATGTGAGAATCCGCCTTGATATACTCACTTATAATATGCCCACAGGGGGCAATGCGTCCAGCGAGTGTGATACGACATATAAACTTCTGTACGGCAAACACGGTTACCGGGGGTCTTTTTACGGGTCGTAAGAGAGAAACATGCGAATTGCATTAAGGCCCGTTCACACTCTTGCGAACCAGTTAGACCGAGAGAGACCAAACCGGTTTTTAAGCCTCTTGCGATTTCTTAGGACCAGCTCCGCTGCATCGCATCTGGTCCTAAGAAGTCGCAAAAGGCTTAAAAACCGGTCTGGTCTCTCTCGGTCGAAGTCGGTCGCAAGAGTGTGAACGGGCCTTTAGTGTTACAGCAAAAGTCGGGGGATCGGTGGCCGAGTGGGTTAGCGCACACCAACTCGGAGCACGTGGAGCGAAAGCTCGCGCTGCAGGACCCAGGAATCCTTAGGAATCCTGGGCTTAATCTTCACCCCAGCCCGTTTTGATCTGGATGAGCGTCGTACCGGCGTGCGGTCGTGTGCGACTACTACGTGATGCACGTTAAAGACCCCATCTGGCAGTTGTACTGCACTGGCTAAATTTCTCATGTACTGCTGACGTACAAGATGCCCATTAAGACTAACATCCGGCTATATAAACATACACATATTATTATTACAGAAAAAGTCGCAACTTGGTCGCGAGGGGTTAACAGTTAGACAAAAAAAAATGCCTGAATTGGTTTTTAATGGGATAGAAGGCGTCAGTGCACATCCAAGTAAACTCTTCCTAGAAATTTCACAACTGTTCGTTAACAGAAAACAAAAAAAAACGTTTACGCTGTACAGGACCGTGCAAAATGCAATCGCATTTCAACAACAATCTGTGCAGCGATTTTTTCTCTGTGTATGTCTTGAAGAAAGGGAGCTACATATATGTCGGTGCCATCTATTGGGCAGGAGATCGAACTATAGGGGGCGCTTTATCGAGCTTGTTGTCCCCACAGCCCAGTGTTTGCTAACACAGCATAACATTTGAACCTCGCCAGCACGGTCTGGGCACGAGCGCCTCGCTCTGATCAGCGCTTTGGTAGCACGGAGATCGGCCTTCGAATCGACATCTTCAATTTTTTGGATCAAAAGCAGACAAGAAAATTCGGTTTGTTGTCCCAACAGCCGAAGCTTACCGCTAGAGGCGTGACTGTTCGATCTCCTCCTCAATAGGTTAAAGCGTCATGCTTCAAGGCACCCAACAATTATTCGCGAATATGAGTTTGAGCTAAAAAAAGTATATATATTAAGATACTGAAGTATTATTAATACTGATTTAATGGTTTCCTATGACCTTCGGCAAGCTTTTAATTGGAACAAGGTTTTTTTTTTGTTTGTTAACTTAAAAGCTCATTATGCTACGCTAATTAGGGAGTTAGTTATTTGAAACGCTGCGGACCTCAGTAATTTGGCCCTTCGGCAATGAGTAATATAGCACCGATCGATTTTCTTGCAGTTTTCACGGGAAACGAATGACCGATGTTCGGTGAATCGTCCGGGTTCTTCTATTTCAGTATTATTCGGCGTATGGCCCAAAGAAATAAAGTTAAGAAAAAGGCTCATTATATTTTCTTTTCATCAGAAATAGATGCAGCGGATACCGGAAGTTCTGCGTATAATTATCCTTCATAATTGTAACGCTTAAAAACTGAAAGGAAGAAATCGTCTTACGGTGATTCCGTTGAACACTTCGTATGCTGGCCAGCTGCATGAATATACCATCGGTCGTCCGGTCCTGTTGATTGCCTGCCCGAATTCACTGTAGACTGCATGAAAAAAAAAAAAAACAGTGATTGAGGTGATGTAAAAAAAAATGTAGCAATTCTTTTTTTTTTTTTTATGTATGCAAAGGTTTTGAACGAACTCAATGTTTATAGAGTCGGGAGCATGTTTTTGAGTACTTTTCATTCACTTCTTTTCTCAAGAAAACAAAAAAGAGCATTGATTAGGTTCATATTTCTCATTCATTTCAAAATTCTCCTTTTTTCTAAGTAACGAAAATCGGGTTAGATAATTAGTTCAGTTGATGTAATACAGTGAACAGTCCTGACTCTTCAGTCAGTAATCTACTACGTCGTGTCTAACGGATTTCGAGTTTCAGAAATGGCAACATTGTTTTCGCTTGTTTTCGCCTGACAACATTGTGCTCTATATATGCTGCAGCGCCTGCGGCGTTGTCAAAACGGTGCCGGTCGACAGATGACACGGCCGCTGTGTAGATTCCTGTCATCCTGACTGCTCTTGCTAAAATTGAAACGAGGGAAGCTTTGAAATAGGTCGCAGTGCCTGAAGGATGGAACACTAGTCTGCCGGCCAGATTAACAACATTCAATATTTCTTGTTTTTGTTCTAAAATTACCAGCGACTTTTCTCTTCCAAGTCCTGCAACGCCCGAATGCAGTATTTATGAAGCGATCATTTAGATTTGTTTTTGAAGACATTATTATTAAGCAGGATCGTTTCAGAAAGCAAAGAACACATGAAATATATTGCCCTTGTCTCGCCTTCGTCTTGCCTGCGTCTTATTGTTTCGGTGTTCCAAGAACACTTCGCTTATTCGTTTCCCCGCTAAGTCTAGCGTGTAGATTGTCGTCACGTGGCCTGACGTCACGCGTCCTCGTAAGACCTGACGTCATATAACGTCGTGCTAAAAAGCGTGACGACACCACAATTTCACGCCGTGACGTCATGCTATGTTGTGACGTCAACCTGACGTCACTCTACGCATTCACGTGACACGGTGCCAGGTCGTGGTGTCACGTAAGAAAACGACGTCACGTGACGTCAATTTCTTCGCTAAATGATAAATTTATCGCTAAATTGCACAAACGGACCGACGAAGAATTTTTTGTTTAATTAGTAGTTTCGTTAAGCGGGGGTCACACTGCTTATACATATCATACAAAAGACAGTCTGCATAGATATTCGAACACGAGTCACCGCGAGGTTCGTGCTTCGAATGCCGCATGGCAATGAGTTTGAAGAGGAAAAGTTTCAAGCGGCATTCGATCACCACGAATATTGCGGTTAGTCGTCTTTGCAGACTGTCGTTTGTATGATGTATAGTATGAACAGAGTAACCCCCGCTTTAAAAAGCATTCTACGTATTAATAAGTCGACTTGTTTTGTTGTCGTTGTTTTTGTTTTTCTTTTCTTTTCTTTTCTTGCTTACCTCTCTCGAAGTCCCGGAAGTCGAGGTTGCATCCGTCCATTTTCACCATGTCCACGTCCCAGTCCGCGAACGTCTGGGCGTCAATGTACAGGTGGCTGTAACTGCCCGGGTAACCGGCGCACGTGTTGGTGCCCACGTCTCCGTAGATGCCGAGCTTGAGCCCCCTGGCGTGCATCTGAAGAAGCGAAGAAGTCACGTCGTCGGCAAACTCACGGAAATGAGCCGAGAGCAGTGCAGGCGAGCTGATGGGTGTCTACCAGAATGCAAGTTAAGACTACAGCGGCGAGAAAACCTAACGGTCTCGAACGTGGAAGGGGGCAGAAAGAACAACGCTGCCTTCCATACTTCAACCCGAGACAAATATGAAACTCGTTGACTACCTCGCCTGTGTTTCTACTTTTTCAACGTTGTCTGTCTTTTTTTCTTAATTTCTAATCTGTCCCTTTTGCTTCTGGAACCTTCCGTTCCCATTTACCCAGTCTAGATTAAATTTCCACTAAGAACACATCGTCACGGACAATTTGTTTAAGTATAGAGTGAATGATTTTATTTTGAACAAGTCTATCGAAAAAAATCTGTGAAAGGTACACTAATGCGGTCTGCGCAGGTGAGTTATATGGCCAGGGGGACATGTTATGGAGGGGTATTTGTCACGATAAACCGAGTAATTAACTAATATTTGTTCATTACCTTTTTAATCTGTGAAAATACACCAATGGTTCCAATCAAAAACTTGCTGAGCGACATCGAAAACCGCTAAATAACTATAGTTTAGAAAGATTTTAAGTACACGAAAAGTGCGGGACTGCGCACAAGTTACCATTCGTGCAGGCTTTCCACAAGTTTCGAAATTGTCGAAACTTTTCAACTTTTGTCGTTTTCGATCATGCTCAAAAAGTTTATAATTGGAACCATATGTTTAATTTCACTAATTAAAGCGTTATTTAACAAGTTTTCGTTAATTACCTCATTTATCGTGAATATTAGCCCCCCGCAATACGTCCCCTTTTCCATATAACTCATCTGCACAAACCTCACTAACGTACCTCCAAGGACTTCAAAAAATATGTTCTTACTAAAATAAATCACCATGTGCATAATAGACCGATGTGCTTCCGTCCCTCGTCACAAAGGCTGCTGAGCCGAAGCCCTCCCTCAAGCGATGCGGCAAACAAAAATACCGTTCAAACCGTATCAAATATACCATCTACTTGACCGGGCTTCTCCAACCGGTAGCAATACAAAAACAAATGTGCGGTATCAACGACAACCAAGGTTCCTCGACGTGCAGAAAGTGGATTTTACTCTAACCGCGGACAAATCTCAGTGTTGTCCGCTTTACTGGGACTAGACGTTTAAGCCGAGGTCAGACTGATAATCCCCGAGCCCCACTAGAGCGACAAGCAGAAACACCCGTCACGGAACAAGCCTCAAGCAGTGTACGTTTTTGTTTGTCGCTCTCGTGGGACTCGGGCATTGTGCATCATACGAAAACTGTTTGTAGACATGTTCTAAGCATCCACATGTATAAAGAAAAGAAGCCAACATTGCATCTGCCGCGAACGTCGTGTTTTTTGCGTGGTGGGAGTGAGGCCCTGGGCTGGTTTTATACGTGGCTTTGTTTGGGTGGTGACATCAAAGGCTAAAGCCCACTTTGCAGTACTATATTTTCCCTTGCTCCAGGAAGCTTCGAACAGTGCCCCACCGGCATTTTTTAACACGCCACTTCGTTTGGTCTTTCAGGTGATTGCGTGTTGCATTGACGTCGGGTTCTACAGATAGTGAATCGACCCTAAGAGAAAAACCGACGTCCCCAAGTTAGGTAAGGCTCTGGCAATCGGCGTGAAGGTATGTGCGCGGAAGATGTTTATTCAACAAAAGCGCATAGGTGTCTGCGGAGTGACCTGATATTGTCCCAGATGGGAGTGATGACTCGATGAATAAGGCGATGAAGAACTCAAGAAACTGAACCTTTAATGTTGGGGAACTTGTGCCGAGAAAACAAAAGTGAAACAGTAGCGTCGCAAGCGTCGAAGTCGGCGTAACCGCAGGGGTCGAGCGCTGAAGCGAGACTGACCCCGGCTCACCACGCGGAGTCCTTTATGCATTTATACATGCATACACGCGTGGGCTTCTGGAGCAATCGACGTAGAAGGTTCGGCGCGTAGAACATCAGAACCTTGGACAAGCAACAGGCTTCTCGAACCAGCGCATCGGAGGACCCTCCAGCGAAAAAGTGGAGGTTCTGCAGGTACTGCACAGCAGTCCATCCGTTATGGTGTGCCACACGCTCGTAGGTGCTGGATCCAGTTCTCGACGTCCTCGTGGATCTCTTCGTGGAAAGGCATCGGCGTACGAGGAGCGACAGGCAGATAGACGATGGAAGGGGCGGCCGGGTTTTATGGGACATAGTCCTCGTCTTTGTCTTCGACTTCTTGGATATAGAAGTCCAAACTCAGGGTGCTGTCCTTGGGTGCGGCGGCTGGCTTCGGCTGCCACTACGAAATGCAGTCTTCTGAGGTCTTGCAATCCAGACTGTCCGGGTACTGCCTGCCTTCTCACAAGTTTCTTTTCTTATTTCTCTCTCTCTCTCTCTCTCTCACCCCTTTACGTTCAGTGTTCCGCCTAAGAAAATTAGACATGCAACTCTTGAAGGCATATAGAAAGACCCCCTTCCAATCTTTTCTGTAGTCGCCGACAGTTTAAGAAGAGAAGGGCGTGGCTTATGATGTTCACGCTTTCTGATTGGCTCATCGGGATATTTATTGGCCAATAGAACAATTTCAGCTGCTGCGGAACGACGGTAAGATGCTTGGGGCACGCCCTGTCAGTTAGCAGTAACTATACGTCTATTGTATAGACCAACTCAACTCTCTTACGTCACGCTATTGTGGTGGCGCTGCTTTCGGCACTGCGCATGCGCAGATGAATTTGGTTTCTGCACACTCCGGACGTTTGCCGACGCCGGGTGCAGTGTGGGAAAACGCAGGCTTCTTTGTGAACGGTGTGCTAATCGAAACAGGGCAGTTTTTTGCTGCAATTATAACGACTTAATTGTAGGTTGCGACGTAATGATCTTATTGCGAGACTCCGCCCCCCTCCCCCCCCCACCCAAAAAAAAGAAAAAAAGGACAACGCTTTGTTTTGCGTTTAATTTGGAATAAAAGAACCTACATTTGGTCCGCGGTCTTCATTATTTGAATAAAAGACGCGATGTCGAAAGCTCGATGCGTCGTTGCCGTGAAGTAAAACAAATGATGCGATTGGTGACGTAGATATTTTTATTTCTTATTTTGTTAGTTTGAAGTCTGCCTTGACAAAGTGTATTTTATCCAACCAAAAGTTGGTGTAAGCTTGCATTTGCTCTGCAAACTCGTATTTGTGTCCTCACAAATGTCTGCAATTCTGTGGATGTTTGTATTTTGAATAGTGTTGCTGTAAACACGAAATGACAGGTTTCAGCTGTTTGTGGGCACTAAAGAAAAGTAAAACATTATTAATATTATTATTATTATTATTATTATTATTATTAATGAACTAAGTGGCGTAGTGACGCCGTTTTTTTATAGAAACTCGGGAGTGGAAACTTAGCTATGGAAGCGGTAGCTTTATAAGGTCAACCAACCACAGGAGCCGCGTAAGCACGCAATACGAAGGTCGGTCAGTCCGTACAAACTAAACTACATTGAAAAAAAAACAAAAAAAAAAAAAACGGCAACCGGTGCCAGGGATTGAATCCCGGTCACCGGTGTTCTAGCCGAGTGTAATGCTGACTGAGCTACCGACCCAACCTGCAGGAACGGGAGGAGCAGAATCAGGTGGTGTCAGAAAGCGCGCGGAGCAGAGAGGGATGGAGAGGGCAAGAACGAGGAGAGCAAAAAGAGGTGCTGTTCTTCCCGAGCAGTCGTACAGAGGCGGCATGGAGAACAGCGTGTCGGTACTCTAGAATATGTCATATACTGCGGCTCATATAGGCTACGTCGGCGCGCATGCTGGAAGTAAATAACGGAAGGGGCTAGCATCGTTAGAAACGCAAATCAAAATTACTTATTTTCTTCCTTTTTTTCTAGTTTATTTCTTCGCTGTTTTTATTCTTTTTTTTTGGGGGGGGGGGGGGGGGAGGGGGAGGAAGGAGGGTAGGGCGGAGGAAGTAGAAATGGTGATATCTGGGCATATCCTAGTGCGCTTACAGCGCAGTAATTAAAAAAAAAAAAAAGAAATCCCCCGTGTAATGTACCGTATTGTGTCAGTGCTCCTTCATGAACTGGTCTAGAGTTTTCATCATGGACATCACGTATGGACTCCTGTGACTCTTACTGAGCACGCCTCAAACAGGTCCATTTATGAACGTCACGACTCAATGCAACTCTGTCGGAAAAAAACAACATATAAACGAGAGTGAGGGACACGAGCCATCGTCTGGTAGGCCCCGTCTACTTTGCCCAGGAATTTTGTTCACGCGTTGCATTCGAAACGAGGCAGTAAATCAAGAAAGATTAACCACCAAAACTGACAATACTGAACATGTCTTTCCCCTCTTTCTCTCCCCATTTCTTTCTCTTGTTCTTCCCTTGTCGTGAAGCCTGCTCATGTTAGCGACTCCAGCTTTTAGGGAGTCTCATCACGTGGTCGCATAGTTGAGCACATTACCGCTCGGCTGGTGACCCCCCCACGAATAAAGAAATCGCGACCGTGTATCGCGAGTAGTTAAGTCAATCAACGTGTATGTAGTCGCCAAAGGCTTATAGCGAGTTCGTTTCACACGCACTGACACCGTTCGAGTTCCCTCCCAGAATGCATCGCACTCGCAGAGTGTTGCACGGAGAACTGGACTCAAACGAACTCGCCAAATGCACCGAGTGCAGAAGATTGATGCTGCCGCCATCTATGTTGTAGAAAAGGTACCGACCTCAAACCGAAACTATCGCCTTTCTGTTCGAAGTGATCGGTGGGAATACGAGAGTGCAGTCACCACCAACGTTTATCTACAAACGTTGAACGCTGCAACCTGTAGTTTATAGTTGCGATGACTTCAAGCAACTCGGCTGTAGTTACAGACGGCGTAAATTTCCGCACCCAGCTGTCTACAAAGCAGCTGGTTGCGATCATTCAATTCTTATAACCGTTTACACTGAAGAAAACTGATGACGCTGTCCGAGCAGAAGCTTGATCCGT